TCACAGGTGCTGGCGAAACGTTAGGAAACAAAACTTCAAGACCACGGCCACACAGCCCGGAAGACCCACACCAGCCATACCTAGTAAAGCGTGAATTTGCTTCAACCAGAATCTGAGACAACAGAGTTTCAGATGGGCTCCTAAGAAGGTGCATCTTAATTCGAACTGGATAAGGGTATAATAAGGAACCCAGGTAAGTCTTTTAAAATCTGGACTGGATAGGTACTTACCTAGAGGCATCCTTATAAAAACATAATTGAGTGCCATATACAATTGAGCCCAGTACTTTAACCATGAATAATCTGACAGTTGCTTGTACACAGCTATTACCTTATTGGCATGCATATTTAATAATTGCAAAGGATGCTTTTTGAGTTCTCATAAGAAAGTCCTTTGCTTAATTGATCCACTGAGTAAATGATTGAATGTCTACATACTTAAAGGTTGTAATTTGCTCTATAGGTTTACCATTGATCTTCCAGCTAATTTGGGACTTGAAACACATTTTTGGAAAATTTTAAGAGCTTTGTTTTAGAGTAATTTATCACAAGGCATTTCCTATGGCAATAGGAAGTTAATGCTTCAAGGCATCTACACAGACCCACCAGGGATATGGAAAGATTAGCCACATCATTGGTGGAGAGGAGAATGGGAACAGGGTGATGGGCAAGAGATGGAGAGTGAAATTCTGGTTTAACAAAGACTTCAACCACATCATTAATATATAAATTATATACACACACACACACTTATAGACTATATACAAAACATAAAAGTCTACTGTTTCAAGAGACCTGGGATACAGAGCCCATATATTTAATGGTTTTACATCTCACTCCCTCACGGCTAGGCCTATCCAGAAAGGTGGCTGGGCACTCAGGGGAACAAGTATCTTAGTGTCTACTACACTGTATCCATGTACTTTACATGTGGTTTTTTTGCGACCAACTACCTGTTGCCCTCTTTCTAAAAACTGGCCCAATCACTCCTTATAAATGTTCACTTTCCATTTAATAATAATATTTCCCAAATTAACAGTATTTGGGGTCATTTTGAAATCTGGTTCTTAGATTTTTCCAAACTCTATAGTCATACTTGCCGGTGACTTTAATGCTATGATGGGAACAAATGACAAGGTTACTTTTCAGTATTATAACATCCATACTCCACACTAACCAGTTTGTCTTCATGAAAATCAAAAGATGCTGAGTTTAATATAGGGAGATGGAAGTTGTGGCAATTGACATTAAAATTTGACCCTAAGTTCCTTAACAGATCTATGCCCAGAGGTGAACTAACTTTTTAGGGTCCTAGAGGAACCTCAACTTTAGATTATATGTTAATATCTAATGACTTCATCCTTCATTGTATTTCCACATGGCTTTCCATCTAGTGAGTGACCACTAACCCCTAGTAGGATCCTTCACTATTAAATTAGCGAAACAGAGCCAGCCTTTACAACCCCGAGTCTCTTGTTACTGGCAATTATTTCCAACCAATATAGTCTAATAAGATGTCTGCAGCTATGGCAAAATTCTTTTCAGTTCCAGAGGTTAATCATCTGAAAGAGTCCATAAGCATGGCTAGTAATGCTTGTAAAATATCTGCCACATTCCATCAAATTATCATTTCTGCTCAAGAACATCTAAAACCTGGTCAACCCCCTTCTCCTCTTCATTCAAACCAACTATCTAAACTTTGGTTAAATAGAGAATGTGTTGCTGTAAAGGCACTGGTAATGTCTGCTTGCAGAAATGCCTAAATATATAATGATCCTTCTTCCTGAGAAAATGTCTATATTCTAAAAAAGTTACAAGAGGTTTCTAAAAGAGAAGAAACAAAATTATGCGTTAAAGAACTGGGCTAAACTCCAACAGACTGTAACAAGCAAAGATGACTACCTGTTCTGGCACCTCATCTCCCAATCTTCAGCAAGATACAGTTTGACTAGCAACAATAATTTGGTTAACAATAATCTGGTTCTTGGAACAGTCATTTTCGCCTTTTATTTAATATATCTGTAGGTGGGGATCCTTCCATTTTGCCATTAGATGATTCCCTTCCTGTCTCACATGTAGAACTACAAAAACTAATTTCTCAATTGAAAAATAACAAAGCACACAGCAAAGACATAGTTTTACTGGAACTCCTAAAATCCAATCCTATCTGGAAGGCATCTGTGCTAGCCCCTCTCTTCACTGCCATAAATAACTTTTTCCAGATTCCACAAGAATGGTTTAATTCCATCATTCTTCCCATATACAAAAAAGGGGACAAGTCTGATCCTGCAACTATTACCCTATCAGACTCTTCTCTGTAATCAGTAAATTACACACCAGGTTTTTATGTTGCTCTCAAGAGAACCCAATTCTGTCCTTACCTAGCTGGATCAGGATAGATTGGATGCTCGCGGGATCCTGCCCCATCATAACGCGATAGTGAAATGAGTGAAGATTCCAACAGCCTCCTAAAAACAAAGCAAAAAAAAATTAAGTGTCTGTTATTCCAGCTGTCCAGTTTCTTGTCTCCTCCAGAATGAAAATTCTGAATAGCTTATATATTATTTTGTTTATTTATTTATTTATTTATTTTTGCTTTTGTTTATTTTGGTCCAACAGTCACCCTAAGCACAGCAAGTATTTCTATTTTATTAAAATATTGCCTGCTTTCTCCTTCCCCATATGTTTGTTATAAGGATTTAGCTAAAAATGGAATCATTTATGATGTAATCACCATGTGATGCAATAGAAAAATCAGCCTTTGTGTGTTACATTAATTATCTACCAAGGGCAGGGGGAACACCTCTAAGCATTCAGATTGGGAACCTGGAGCAAGTGATATGCAGTTCCCAGATAGTCCTCCTGTTTTAACTGTTATAAGTTCTTACACAATTTTGTTTTATTTAATATTACAGAACTTTAAATGTAACAGACCATGGAATTACCAGGGTATTACAGAAATTATGATACCTACACTTGTATCGATCGCCCTTGGCAATCACCAGTTTCCCAGTGCATACATAACCAAGATACCCTACAAGACATACTTTTTGACCACATATACAGCATATAAACAATAGCAAAAGAAATGCATGTGAAACTCTTATGTGAAGTTTTGTGTGTATGGTTTCCAAGTTTTTTCCTCTGTATAACAGTACTTTTAAGATAGGAATACAGTCATGTGAGGAGCAAGCCTAATTCCTAAAAACAGGAATTTATGTACTATATACCATTTGAATTTACTCTATAAATAATATAAAAAATACACTGCAAGTCCCCTCACCCTGGTGCAGGAAATCACAATTACTATATACCATAGGCCAATTGCCAGTCTTTTTGCACCAGGATACCCTTGCAACAGTAACTTATGACTTTATCATCTCACAGACTACTGCAACATACTTTACATATGGCTGCCCTTGAAGACATTTCAGAAGCTGCAATTAATTCAAAATGCAATGGCCTGACTGCTGACAGGAGGAAGTAGGCTGGTAATGTGACACCTATGTTGAGATTACTGCATTTGTTAGAGATAGGCTTCCAGACTCAATTTAAGGTGCTGTGTTTACTTTTAATGGCCTACAATGATGAGCCCTATGTAAGTGCAGGACCATCTCTCCTGACACCAATCAGTCCACCCTGTACCAACAGAAGAGCATATATGTAGCTCAGGGTTGAACTGTGAAGTCCTTGGGATTCTCTGAGCTTGCTACTCCTTGTCACAATCCAATGTGGTTAAGGGGGTTGGAGCCCCAGATGCACACTTTCTCAGTTGCAATATTCACCTTATGGGACAACTTGCCCCATGAGGAAAGGGGAGTCCCATGTGCCATGCATTTCATAAAAACATTAGAACCATCTTATTCAGATGGGGTGAATAGTGTATCTGAATTGTCTTTGCAAGTTTTAGTCTACTTGATTTTATTTTATTACAAAGTAAATCACCTTGAGTCATAAGAGTTTTGCAGAGGGGTGTGTGCGTGTGTATAAATAACACAATAATTGCTCTATATAAAATAACAATCTTTTAAACTCATTTTGTGAATCGTTTTGCAGAGGGGTGTGTGCGTGTGTATAAATAACACAATAATTGCTCTATATAAAATAACAATCTTTTAAACTCATTTTGTGAATCGTTTTGCAGAGGGGTGTGTGCGTGTGTATAAATAACACAATAATTGCTCTATATAAAATAACAATCTTTTAAACTCATTTTGTGAATCTACCAAAACTAGAAAGGAATTTAACCTATGAAATGGGGATGAAATTCTTCTTTCAATATGAATTATATCAAGACTGTCATTTTCTAACTCCTTTTTCCTTAGGAAACAAAATGCAGTGATTCCCATAACAAAGCTTTCTTTGTAGAGCCACTATTATTGTAGAAAAGCTTCCACAAAGTCTCTTGTTTTAGGAGATGCAGTTAATCCCATTTTATTACACAGAACTTGCAATCTGCAATTCTTACTGCATTACTGTATCTCTTCCAGAGATAGGATATTCAATCCAGTGATTTTCACTAATCTCTCTTCCCACCCTTTCCTCTGCAGTAACTTGCATCACCAAGGTAGGACATGGTACAGATGACTGAAAAAGAATGTGAATGTACAAAAATAGACGTCTCATCTCTTCCATCACCTTGCTCATGGAAGCATTCCTCTGATTAAGGACTCTTTTGTCATGCAGAGATACAATTAGACTCATTCCACTGTTTCTCCTATAATCTGTTGCTGATTTTGATCTTCTTAAGATTTGTTCTATAGTGCTGGTTGGTAATATTATAAATCAATCTTAAGAAAGAAACCATGTTTTGAAAAGCAGAGTGGATAAGCTGGTATATTGTATTAAGCCAAAACTAAGCCTCATTACTAGTCTCCATACTTCACCTCTGATGTGGAATATTCTCCCCCCAATGGTGCAGAGGGCCCCTACCCTCCCGGTTTTCCAGAAAGGACTTATCACCTGGCTCTGCCAGCTTGCATGGAGTAATAAGAGTTTAAAACAATCCTGGAGGTGGCTGGCGCCCTGATGTCACTCCCTGAGCTATTTGCCAATCCCATCATTCTTGGAATGTATTTATTATTTATTTAAGACTGTTTTTATATTGTATTTTAATTTATTTTATCTCCTCTGTAAACCGCCCAGAGTTGCTTTTTAACAAGATGGGTGGTGACAAATTTGATATATAAATAAAAAAAATAAAAATATTAAACCTTTCAGTTACAGAATGACCACAAATTCAGTTGTACATTTATAACTACATTCCTACTTACATACTACAAATTGTTACAAGAAACTTGAGTTGGAAGAAATGTTATAGATCAATTGGTTCAATCCCTCCTTGGTGCAGGAATCCACTAAAACATCCAGCCCATCTGAAACCTTCAGGAAAGGAAAGTCTGCCACAATTCTAGGTATATCACTGCACTTCTTAAGACCTCTTACCATCAGGAAAATCCTAATATTCAGCCTGATTCTCCATTCTTTTAATTTCAACCTGCTGGTCCCCATCCTGCTTTGGTTGCAACAAAAGACATGTCCATTCTCTAGTCTTTTCAATATTTGTAGACTACATTATACTCTTGGTGTTCCCTTCTGTGAGTTGAACATGCCAAGCTCTTAACTATACCTCATAGGAATTGATTTCCAGATGCTTTATCATCCCTTTCTGCAGTGCCCAGAACTGGACACAACACTGCAGTCTAATCAGCATAGAGAACAATGGAGCTATGATCTTGACTCAGTCCTTTAATGCAGCCCAAGATTGCACTGGCCTTTTTAACTGCTGCAACACACAATTTGCTCATTTTCAGACAGTGATCTACTTGTACTCCTAGATCCTTCTCACATGCACTGGTATCAAGCCAGGTCTCACCAATCCTGTAAGCTATACAACTGATTTTTCCTGCAGAGATGCAGGATCTTGCACTTGTCACAACTGAACATCATCCCGTTGAATATTCAAACTGTCATGGTAATTTTGAACTGTTTTTTATACTGTAAGCTGATCCCTAGATCTTGGTGTCATCTGAAAATTTAATAAGCTGTTACAGCCTTACTTGACTTCTCTTCTGATGAGGAGGTGGAGGAAGTAGATCCAGGGACTTTTAGTAATAATAGTCCTGGAGGGAGTGATTCCAGCAGTGTGGAAGCTAATAATTCCATTCTGGCTCAAGCAAATCTAGGAAGCCCCCAGGACTCCTTGTCTGCACCCACTGACAATCTCTCAGACTCTGAGAGGTTCACGTCCCAAGCAGAGGCATGCTTTAAAGATACAACAACAGAGAGCTAAGCTCCACAGGTCAGATAGACTGGACAAGAAGCAGGCTGGCAGGAGAGTAGACTCTAATGAGTGATGTACCTCAGCTATGCATCTAGGTGGTGGCACGGCGTGGCTTATTTATTGGCCTCTCCCCGAGAGAAAACGCTGAGAACTTTTCAAGCCTCAGCTCTGTCGGAATTACCTTGTCGTGCCATGTTTTAAACTCTTGTCTTTTCCCTTGGATTTCTTGCTTGTTTATTGGATTCCTGGTCTTGACCTGTGCCAAGCCTTGAGTATATTAGAGTTGCTGTCTTTTGCTATAGGAAAAAAGGACTCTGCTTCTAAAAGTTCTGCTTGAGTTTGCCTGCCTCTGGACTGTGCAGGCATCCAGCCTGCTATCTTGCTGGCTGGCAGCCACTAATGCTGACCAAGAAAATAAACAATCCTTCCATTCCATATTTTGGATCCTTGCCACTGGCCAAGGACAGAGTCTTGGGGGACCTTACTCCATATTTCCCACCAGGACAATGCTGAATTATTTCAGGGTGAGATTGATCAACCAGTAGGGAATCTATCAGACTACTGAATCTATCTATCTATCTATCTATCTATCTATCTATCTATCTATCATTCATTCATTCATTCATTCATTCATTCATTCATTCATTCATTCAATTTATATAGCCACCCATTTCACACAACTCTGGGTGGCTTATTTAAAACAGATAAAAACAAATAAAATACATAATATAAAATAAACATAGCAGCCAAGCTATTTTATCCATCTTGGCCTCAAGGATACCATGAGAGATTCCATTAAACACTTTATTGAGATTAAGTGTTTTACATACGTTAGCCACACAAAGTCTTATGATTAGGACAGCATAAAATTTGTGCTAAATAAATAAGGCTGCCCAGCATTTGCAGCATTCCTTTGCTCTACCAACCTAGTCACTCTGTCATAAATTCACATTGTGAATAACAAATTCACACCAGCCCATATAATGGTCACATTGTTTTTAAGTGCTCCCATGTACTGATCACTGTACATGTACAAATAGAACAATGTTTTAAATTGTTCTTTCTTCCTTTAGTGGCATCATTCCCTTTCAATTAGCCATCTACCCTTCTTAGTCATAAGGTCCTGTTTTCATTTCTTATACATTTCTTTTTGCATCTCAGCTTGTCAATGAGTTCGCTATTCAT